GACTGATGAAGTGATTCGAGCACTTGCCATGGGTCCGTCTAGACAAGTCAAAACATGGAGGCAATTTGACATCAATGGCTTTAAGTTTCACACTTTTGATTATGGAAAGCACAAGGCAACTATGAATTATGGTGTGGGTGTAATAAGTGAGGAGGAAATTGATTACTTCGGCATTTTAGAAGAAGTCATTGAGCTGGTCTACTTGGGGACCGTAAATGTCTTCAAAACCGTCTTGTTTAAATGTAATTAGATGGATTCAGTGAATGGCATGAATATTCATGAGCTGTATAGATTAGTTGATGTAAACCACTCTAAGAAATACCCTTCATATGATCCTTTTGTTCTATCACATCAGGTTTATCAAGTGTATTTTACCTCTTATCCAAGCTTAAAGAAAGATAAGAGTCAATGGTGGGCTGTTTTTAAGACTAAAGCTAGGTCAAGTGTGGATGCCCCAATCGATGAGTCAATTTTCCAAGTAGACATTGTTGAGACCCCAACCCTTTGTTCGTCGGATGATGATGATGGTGTTATGTACGAGGATATGGATGAAATGGAGGAGGACGGCTCAGGTGGTGAAGAGGAAGAACAACATGAAGAAGATGAATAGGATGATACTGAATCTGAATCTGAAGAAGAGGTTGATGGAGAGTTAGGATATACTGACAGCGATGACGAGGATGATGATGATGATGATGTGGATGAAGAAGAAGAATAATTTCTAAGCTTGTACTTTTCAATGTGTTTTCTTTGTTATGGGCTTATTTGTTTGATAGACAATGTGTTTATCTTATTTGTTTGATATATGATAAATGTTTTAAAATTTGTTGATCATATTTGTGAGCTTACTTTTTTAAAAAAAATTTTATTATGGGTTATTTTGTATAAATTAATTATTGTGCTTCTAATCTTTCTAGTTCTTTGGAAATGAAATCCTTCATGAAAAATTCAAAATTTGGCCAAGGAGGTAATCAAGGCGGTGTCCGAGCCAATAATCAATCGGTTGATCAAGAAAATCCTGTGGTCACACGACCGACACCACCACCTTCTAGTGAACAAGTACAAGTAAATTCTAATGCTGATGTTGCTGTTGAGAATGATGTGGCACCACAAAATTTGAATGGAGTGGAACAAGGAAAGATTGAGCTCTCACCGGATGGGCTATGGTCAGTTATATTTATCTATGTATTATATTTGTTGTCTTAGTAGCTTATTATCATTATTTATGCTTGTACTTAATCTTTCTTGCATCAGGTTTGATGACCATACCGTTAGTGGAAATGTCACAAAATCTTGGAAGGCACACTACAACCACCTATACATGAATTTTACTAAGGTGCCACTTATGGTTAGGGATCGTTGGTTCACTGAGTTTAAGGTATGTTTAGAATTTAGTTGTCATCTTAGATATTTTTATAGTGTTAGTTATATTACCCTTGGAGTTGGAATTTGCAAAGAGGTGGTTATGATATCTTTGTTATGTATATATTGTTTATAGTTATATTTATTACGGAGTCTAGAAAAAATGGAGAAATTTGATTTAAGGCTAGAGATGACTCAATCTTGATAGGTGTCTTTCACATGCTATGAATATTACACCCTCTGACAGCCTAACTCAGTGGCCAAAACCACCCCTATTCGTGCTGCGAAAGCCACTGCCATAGCCACACGGACCTGAGCACTTACAAGACGAACCATCACAGCCATAATGCTGCCATCAGAGTCCCTAATCACAGCCCCCAAGCTCACACCCCACCCTTCCAACACCGCTGCATCAGCGTTGATGCGCACAGTGCCAGCAGCAAGGCACCTCCAACAGCAACAACCCACAGCAGCAGCACTTCTAACCCCACCAGAGACAACATTCGTGTATTCCAACAGCCATGCCATGTTTGTTTTAAGAAATTTTAAGTACCAATCCAAATGTGTACCTCTAAATTTTATGGTAGGTCACGCTCTTTCGAATTTCGTTGTAGGATCTTGCTGAAAACTCTATCTTTCTTGCTCCTATTTGCTGCATCATTGCTAACTGTTTGAAAACTCTGTTATATGAAGAGAATGCTTCAATTTTATGTCTTGATTAGGTTACTTATTTATTTGCAGTGAATAAGCAGCATTGCGTACTCTAGTTTTTCTAGCTATTTATGAGTGTAGTGTTGTGAATTTGACATAAAATTCTGAAGAATATTTTTCTTCTTGGCTGTAGTTCAGTTTGGAGTCATAGTGAATGATCTAGGATGGCTCATTCGTCTTCCTATTCTAAGTTTATTTTCATACATCCTTGTCCCAGCAGCCTCTTCAAGCATAGACAATATTTCAGGAGGCTTCATGTTTAAAACTTTTGTAATACGCCCTTGCATAATAAGAAAATGTGGATTATTCATATTGAGCTGCACTGAAAGGAAGAGGTTTTGTACCCTACTAGGTTGGGCAAGGTGCCCATTAATCAGATACTTGTTCCTGCCGCCAACCACAATCTGCAAAATTTGACCATAAGCATATAGCTCCTTGTAATTTCGATTTCCAAAAGCAATCTTAATAGCTCATGTCGTTATGACTCTTATGAGCAGTCGAAAAAGGTTGATAAATTACTTGAAAGCTAGGTTCAGACTGATTAATGATACAAACAAAATGCCACCAGAATAAATAGGACCTATTGGTTGATTTGGCTAGATTAAAAAATGTCAAAGTGTTCATACTTGGCTAGATTATAAAATGTCAAAGTGTTCATACCCATATCAGAATGTCAAGAATCAACCACCTATGCTTGAACTAAAATAAACAGTTCGATTGACATACTCAAACATACAGAAAAAAAAACACAAATTTTAACTTAAAACTGAGCTAAAAACGAAAACTTTTAGAAAAATAATAACCTGGGAAAGTGATCAATTTACACTCCACTAAAGTTGGTATCTTTGATTTTTTATCCATTGTTTAATTCTTGAAAATCCAAGGCCTATCTTTTCACATGAATGAGACTAATGAGGAATTTGGAAAATACTTAGAGAAGAGGGACAGCTGGAAAAATGTGTAGTAATCTTTCATTTGTGAGTATAAACTTAGGTTACAGCTTATTAGAGTATTGATTCACAAGTTGCCCATGGTTTTCGTCATGCCAATATTTTAGTGTATCTTAATGAGATAGATCGTTAAACTTTGGTAGTTAATTGAGCTTTGGCTTACTATAATGTGCTGTTGTGTAATATCCTGCACTCCTGCAGCCATATCAGGTTGTAAATTAGAAATAAAATTATTTATGTATAATATGCTATTTTGAGTTAAAATTATAATATTTACATGTTAATTATGTGCAGCGTACATATACTTGGACAACAGAGTTCGATGCTAAGGCTAGGAGAGAATTTGACAAAAAAGCTGGGGACCGACTTAGGGGCACATTGAACCAAGTTTACAAAATGCCTCTCAATAAGAAAGTTAGTTTCATGACTGACACTGTTCGAGCTGAATTCATAAATAAGCGTAAGCATCCTGATAATCTGAAACGTTCTAACCAAGCAAGAGATAATCGGTTATCTGGTCAAACATTAGAGAAGTTTGACCCTGGCCATCGCCAAGGTAGCGTATCTACTCCTCAAGTGGTTAAAAAAAATGGTAAGTGTATGATTTTAGCAGCTAACTTGTGATTTTATATAAGATTGAAGCAAGTAGAAAATTTTTAGCCACTAAGAGATGACAATAACTAGTCTTTATTACAATTGCTCTGTAGTCTATGTCCCCTATTTTTTGTTGTATTTTTTTTAGTGCTAACAACTTCTTCTAATACAAGGCAAAGAAAAAGGATGGAATTTTACCAACTGCTGCTGAAGTTTATGAGAGCACTCATTCTGTTTGTGTGGGCAATGAAGTTGAATTGATAGGTGACAAGTCTCAAAAAGTCATGGTATGAGTATACTTCTATATTTTGCTAAGATTACAAAAAAAAATATGTGGTAGTTAATGTTTGGAGATATTATAGATTGTTTATTTGTTTGTGTGATTGAGTTGGAGGATGAGAATGATTTGCCGGCATTAATCATATGATTAATGTGGTATGGCACAATGTGAATTGAGACAGGTTTATTTTGAAGCCATACCTATAGGAGGGGATTCTTCAATTTACAAAGGAGACTCTGCCGAAATTTTTACTAATAACTGCTTACATAAATTATTTTGCTGTAAGTGTTACCTTTTTTATTTTAAAAAAAACAATTAAATTATTTGTAACTCTATTAGCCGCTCTAAAGCAATTAAATTAAATTATGTTTTAGAAGTCCAAACAAGTTTTTATCCCGGACGATGTCCCGAGTCATTGCTTGTATTTTTATTATAGTTGTTTTTTTTAAAATGTATTTAGTTTATTTAAGTTTTAACATTTGAGATAATAGTTACTAATACATATCTTAATGCAGGGAGAATATATGGAAAAACTTGAGGAATATAAGAACAAAGGAATTGAGATAAACCCCGACAAAGTCTACTTAGAGGTTGTAGGTGGGCAAAAGAAAGGAAAAGTCTACGGTTTAGGGAGTGCTTCACAAATGTATTACAAGAGTGATCCTACTTCTCAATCTACTGCATCATCTTCCACTCCTTCCATGATTTCTCAATTAAGTTCTCAAGTTGAAGAACTAAAGAAGATGGCGGAAGAAAACCATAACAAGGTAGAAGAAAGCCAAAAAATAGCGGCAGAGAACTTAAAATGTGCTAAGGAATTCGTCGAAACTCATGAGATCGAAAAAGCTACATGGAAGAAGGAAAAATTAGCTATGCAAAAAACATTGCAGGAAATGGCATCACTTGTAAAACAAGTTTACCGTCCTTATAAGCCTCCTATGCCTGCAGTCACCCGCTCTCGTGATACAACTAAGTGATTTTTATTTTCTTAGTGGTAATTTTATGAACAACTGGTCTTTTACATTGTTATTAATTCTTGTTTGAAGTAGCTTTTTTTTATATGGAAGGTGACTTTTGGAACAATTAGTCTTATAAGTTAAATATTTTTTTTTAATACATTGATAAAAAAATTGATTGATATTTTGGATATTTGAATAAAATTAACATTTTAGTTATTTGAATTTATGCGTGGGTACCTTTTTTTCTTTTTGATTAATATTGGTTGTCGCTTAATTATGGTCTCAAATATTGATAGTTAGTCGCAAATATTTAGCGACTGCAAATTTGGTTTAGAGACTAATTGGTTAGTTGCAAAATCATTAGTCTCAGTAGTCGCTAATCTGTCATAAATAATTAGTTTTGCAGTCGCAAAAATTTGGTCTCGTATGTAGTTGCTAATCCGTCGCAAAAAACATTAGTCTCAATAGTCGCAAATCCGTAACAATAAAACTAGTCTCCGTAGTCGCAAAAGTTTAGTCTCGTAGTCGCAAAAATTTGGTCTTGCAGTCGCTAATTCGTCGCAAAAGTAGTCTTAAAATGTTGATCTCTGTTGTTGCTAATCCGTCGCAAATATATTACGACGGACAATAATTTAGTTGCTAAAATTTGAAAGTTAGTCGCTAAATGATAGTTGCAAAGGCGTTGCAAATCTGTCACTAAATTTGCGACTGTTCAAAAATTAGTCGCAAAAATGGATTTGCGACGAGGTTTTTGGCAACGAACCAAAGTAGTTGCAAATTCGTCGCAAATCCATTTTTGCGACGGATTTGCTTTGCGACGGATTTGCGACTACTTTGGCCGTCGCTAATTACCTTTTTTCTTGTAGTGGGACATATTAGCAGTCCCAACAACGCTAGCAAGAACGCCTTCATGAATTCATCCTTCTCATGCTCTGTGTTAATCGGTATTAAAGGCAGCTCATCAACGACCTGCTGGATCTTAATGTGACATGTACCATCTGGATTTACCTCACCATAGTGCTGAACTATCCTATCAACCCTCACTTGCATGGCTGCATTTGTTACTTTAACAGGAACTTGGTTTGTACCACGAGGAAGCCCAAAAATTCACCTCCATTATTGTTCAGGGCACAAGGGTAGCTCCCTTCCATCTCCTGCAGTGAGAACCTTCTTCTCGGGATCGATCCTTCCCATAAGCCAGTAACAGAACCTGCGATCAATCTTCGTTGAAGGTAGCTTAACCAAGGAGCCAAACCCACTATCCTGCAACAACTCTATTTTCTTCTCATCTATTTTCATCGCCTTGATAAGATCAACAAATGCACTGACTCGACAATTGAAGTTTGTTGGCTGAAACAATTTGGAAAAATACACTTCAACAACCACATTACAGCATATAATTACATAACAGATTATCGTTAATAAACTATACCTTCCAGCTGCAATTCCTCAGCTGTGTTGCAACTAACAACCCTCTTTGCTTGGCAGACTCACCTAACGTCTGCCCCGGTTGTCCAACAACAAACTACAGATAATCAACAAACAAAATTACAACAGAAAAACATATCAAAAAGTCACCAATTGACAATAACAGGACAAACCAATTAAAAAATCACTCTTCCTTGTACCTCATCCATCGTATTATCTTGTTCTTTAATTACTAAGGGCCTCTGAACTCTTCTCACAACTCTAGTCTGTTTCTGTGGTGGGGGTCTCTGTAGGGATCTCTGTGGGGGTCTCTGTGAAACAATTTTTTGCTTATTATCAGTGTGCTCAGTAACAAAATACTATGACTCCACCTCATAATCACCACCAAATAAATCGTCTTCAGCGTACTGTTGTTCTTCAACTTCCTCCTCATAGTCTGCATCATTAGAATCATCATCCGCTCCACTGAAGACTTCGTAGTAGTCATTATCTTCATCATCAACATCCTCGACAACAACCGCTTCCATTTTCCTTTTCTTGCTCTCTACTTGTTGTTCTGCTTGTTTGCTAGAAGAAGCAGCGGGTGTACCACTTCTAGTCCTCATTATTTGCTTCAGTGTACACTACATACAAAAAACAGCCAAATAAATACATTGATTTCTTCTAGATATATACAAATTAAAATCAGCCATGCATACTGTAGGGAATAATTTCAAGTGTTAAATCCCACTAGCTTTAATACCACTGTGATCATACACTAAAGTACGGTGGCGTCCAAAAGGGAAGAAGATAGAGAAAAACAGTCGCGAACAAGTTTTTAGGAACTTGTAAACCGTTCACGAGGTGAAAGTTACACCCCTTAACGATCCAAGAGATCGTCAACTCCATAAGGTCTAGAACCAAATAAGGGTTCGGGGATGAAGGTACAAATCCAACCTAAAAGAGATTGAGTCTGCCCTAATAATAGGCCTCTACTTTATTCTAATCGTATTCATGTGCGCTTTTTAATTAACATGCAATCAAAAGGATTAACCTTAAACCTGTTTATCTATGTTGGTTGAATATTAATGCACAAATAAACTATTATTGGCGATCACTTGAATTTATAATCACAATTAACCCTAAACAAGATTATTAATTATCTTATTAAGCGTGATTACAAGTACCAAATTCTCTTTAAGCATGCATAAAAGGCGTGATCAAACAATAAATATAAATAATCAAGCAACACACTAAATAATCAATATCATGAATAATAATTATAATAATAATAATATCATCATAAATAAAATAATTATCATCAAAATAATAATAATAATAATAATAATAATAATAATAATAATATTCATAATCATAAATTATAACAATTATAATCATAATCATGTTCATGTTAATATAAAAGCATAATAATTGCAAGATCCTAGGCATGATACTAACAAGATTAATAACAAACCCTAGCATGTCACTAAGCAATAAAAATCAAATCTTTAGCCCTAACATGATACTAACAATCATAAATATTAGGAAAAACATAGGAAGCATCGTAACAATCATATTTAATATTAAAATTACCCTAGACATGATACTAGGAATATCATAACAACAATGTAAACATGATTTCTACGTCATAATATCAATTAATCAATTAAAGTACTTACTTTGATGCTTCGTACCTCTTTCTAATAACAAAATACACACGTTAGTAACTTCAAGGAAAATAATAAACAAAACAATTAAATTAAATAATTGAAATAGAGATTTGGGACCAAACCCTCAGAAATTAAACCTTTCACGTCTAGGGCGAAGGCAACTTCGAATATGGCTAGGTGTTTCTAGATCTTGTGAATGCGGAATTTTGTATGTAAAAACAAAGTAAGAAAAGAGAGAGAGAATAATCAAGAAAATCTTGATGAGAATTCGTGAGGATTGGTGTATGAAAACGGAGTTTTTAATATGTTATATATAGAGAAATCAGCCAAAAAGATAAAATATAAAAACAGAGCACTTGGCGCACGCAAAACGAGATTGGCGCACACAAAACAGAGCTGGCGCCAGCACCAGCTAATTGGCGCCAGGCACCAGGCCTGGTTCCAGGCGCTGATTTCAGAAATTCACGCGTTTTTTGTTTTTATCATATCTTTTGATCCGGAAGTCCAAATAAGGCATATAATATGTCGTTAAAGAGCTCTTAAAGTCTAATTTCCAACCCAATTAGAATCAGATTAAAATATTTTTTAGATAAAAAGATATGGCCAAAATAGTGGAAGGATGTCAGTTTTGGATAAAGTTTCATGTCTCATTCATATCTTTTTCGTTATAACTCGGATTTAATATTATAATATATCATTGGAAAGATAATTTCAAGATCTATCCAACCATATAAAATTTGGATAAATATTATGAGGCACGAAAATAAAATATGAATTTATTCCACTTTATACAAAACAAGGATTCTTAAAAGGAGTAGTTTTATTCAATTTCAAACTCTTTAAAACATAATTATCAATCCTAACTCCATTAGGATTTTAAGAAACCTTCTAGAGTAGAGTATTCTAAAAGACTATAATCAATCCTAATAGCTTTAGGAATGATAATTAATAATAGGTCCTCCTCTAGATCATTGGGCCGCATATAAAGCTCAAATCAGGCCCAGTTAGTATTTTGGCCATAACTTCCTCGATATTCATCGGAATTGGGCTAATAATATATCGTTGGAAAGGTCTTTTCAAACCCCATACAACTACATTATTATTGGACCCATATCATTGACAAAACAAACTGGATTGGCTGTTTTCTTAAAATAAGTTTTTAAAAACAGAGAGAAGAGAAAAGAATTAAAATCTATCCGCAACACTAGACTTTCCACACTTTCGCTTCATTCGATTATGATTCGACGTGAAAGGTACTCATCACTGGGTTTGGTTTTGGAAAGACACAAATGGGTATCTACACATACATACCCCCCAATTACTTCTGCATCCTACAGAAGTCTCATTCAACTGCTCCGACATCACTAACTACATTACAACACACGGGAAAAAAATTTTACAAAATCAATGTACTACTTTGGAGGAAAAATAACTCTTAAAATTCCATGGTTACAAAAACCTTAAAAAAGGTTTCTAAAACAGGTACCAACAACACCTTAAAAAAGGTTTCTAAAACAGGTACCAACAGGTACCAACATGGTATCGTAACTCATTGATTATGGTATCAAACATAGACCTATTTGGTATCAAAAACAGAAAATTATGGTATCAACCAACAACCAAAAAACTAGAACTTAGGGGCCAACAACAACATTCATACGGGAATTCAACAGAAATTTTTAATACATTCTAAGAGGAATTCAACAAATAATTAAACTTCTACCAATTTCAACACTCTAAACGATGTACTCATGATTTCAACCAAGTTAATTTATCCCACCATGAGTACATTAGTTGAAATGCATGTAACTTCGCCAAACTAAATTGCAGTCACCATTCCCCATCAAATACATGAGTTTAATTGCCATCTAATGCAATCTTATACAAAGATAAGTTTAATTGCCATCTAATGCAATCTTATACAAAGATAACAAATTTCACATACAATTCAACAATTTTAAACATACAATTCAATAATTTCCCAACAGTTAATACTAAAATTAATCGACAAATAAAGGGCATGATTTCAAGTAAAAACCCTAACTTTTGACAAATTCAAACCCTAACTTTTCACAAATTAATCACACATATTTCAACAAATTCATCACACATATTTTAACAACTTCTACTACACAGACAACTTTTAAGAACTACAAAAACCTAACAAAAAAACTAAACTTTCAAAACTTAAACAACTAGGGAGAATACTTACATTTGATGGCGCGACCAATTTAGGGCGAAAATGCAATCACACAGTCTCCTTGAATAGAAACCCACAGACGATGCTCCAAGTTTTGCTTGAATACAAACCCAAACAACGCGAAATTGGCAACTTTTTACCGGTTTGTTTTTTCGCACACTCTCACTCTCCTTTAATCGAAATGAAATTTTGGGAAAATGGTTTTCTCTCTCCTCTTTTACAGATTTAAATTTCAAATTTTTTGGATGTTTTTTAACACTTTAAATTAATTAATCAGGAAGATGGGTGGGTGGGTGTGGGGACCACACACTTTTCAGAATCTTTTCACTTTACAGAAAAATTTTCAGAACCTAAATGTGGAATTCCCATTATACCCTTAGTTGAGTCATTCATGCCTCAACTTAGTTGAGGATGAGAATTGCTCCTTTATTTACTACACGTATCAAATGCGAGTGTCTTTTAAATAAGTGTTACGGAGTATTTTTTTTTTAAACAAAAAGCTACAAAGTACAATTTATTGTTATATTTCTTTCTCCTCTCATGGTCCTTACCTAAATTTATTATTACTTTTTTTTTTTAGTGTTATTATTATTATTATTATTATTTCTCTCGTCATATTCATTAGTTTTCCATAAATTATCAACCCCAGTATGGGTAGTATCTTTCTTATATCATTTTTTAATACTCCAACAACTCCACTTATTTCTTATTTTATTTAAGTCAATTAAATTGTATTAAGTTATATGTGTTGGTCAAAATATAACACTTATTAAAGTACGGAGTGAGTAACCCAAATTCGACCCAATTTGATTCATTTATCCAATGTAATGACGTTAAAATGATTATGTAGTGTTAATATAGTAGCAAATGTATTGACTAATCTAAAAATATTTTACATGATAACATATAGTAAAGATATAATCAACTTAGCAATATAAAATTATAAATAGTGAAATATTGTGATTATTATGCAACATGTTGTACACACATTAAGGGTATGTTCTCATACGTTGAAATTTAGTTCAGTTCAGTTCAGCTCAATTCAATTCAGTTCAATTCAGTTCAATTCAGCTCCTAATTTCCTTCTCTTATAAAATATTCATTTCAGTTCAATTCAGTTTAGTTCAGTTCAGCTCAACTCAGTTCAGTTCAACTGAATTCAGTCAATGAGAACAAGCCCTAAAATTGGATGACAATTTGGTAAACCTAAGGGCACATATATCTAGTAAAAAAAAAAGCACATATAACCCACACTTATTTTGTGATTAACCAACACTTGTTCCTCCCCAAAAGACACTAATCTAATGAGGTGGTGGGCTATAAAGTTCCTATCCCTAGGGTGTTCAAATCCGGGTACCCGAGTTTTCGGGTACCCGAAACAGCAGGTACCCGAATCTTCGGATAGTTTGAAACTCGGCCCATGCCCCGAACTGAGAAAACCGGGTAGTTTGGGATTCGAGTACCCGGTTTTCTCGGGTCGGATCATAGGGTACCCGGATTCAATATGATAATAATTTGCCCAAAATATGAAAAATGATAAACAATCAAGAATCTGCTACCCAACCTTCACAAAATTAGAATAAGTACAACTAAAACTATACACAATTAGAAGTATACGTGTACAACTAAAAATAGATCTTTATTGAAGATTTAATCAAAATAAAAAAGAAAAATAAAAAAATGAAACTCAGTTTCATTAGTAGTTGTCTTCTTCCCACCGTCATTTACATCATCATCAATACCAACCATCATCAAAATCATTATTCATCATCAAAAGGCACCACTCGATTCTTGCCCAGAAATTGAAGACCCACGATCAACCACCACTAGTCAGTGGCGGATCCAGGATTTCCGAGATAGTGTGTCACCATCAATTATTGATCATTTGTGAAAGTACAATTTTTTTTTCCATGTCTTGTTCATAATTAATTTCAATCCAAAAATTATATATATATATATATATATATATATATATATATATATATATATATATATATTTCACCAAATTGATTTCAATCCAAAAATAGGACACAAAAATTCATACCACAACCAAATACAGTACTTAAGAATTCAATTTTACAAGTCGAAAATACTACAAATAACATGTTATAAACAAATGGTACAATAAAATTATTATATTGAATTAACTTTATGATTTTTTAGTTAATTGATAAGCTTTATGGGGAAATATTAAAATTGGTTGTACAAATATAAGATATAAAAAGGGAAAAAAAATTATTAAAAAATTATACAAAAAAAGTGAGATAACTTAAGAGACCAGTTATTAAATATAACTGGTCTCTTTAATGAAAAAAGAAAGTAGCGCAAAAAAATTGTGAAATGGCAGCATCAAAGAGACCTCTTATATAAATAACAGGTCTCTTTAATATTTAAAAAAAACCACAGCAAGTCTTTTGTAGCAATAGCAGCATTAAAGAGATCGCCTATCTTAATAAGAGGTCTCTTTGATATTGTTTGTTGTTACCAATAGCAGCATCAAAGAGACCACCTATCTATAATAAGGGGTCTCTTTGATATTTTTTTAAAAAAAAAATACTGTGTCACCGGACCCACTATGACTAAAGGTGGGTCCGCCCCTGCCACTAGTCCAGTCCACCACCTTTCCTCGATTACAACCCAGAAAGTGAAGATGCCCTCACAAATCGAACCACCCACTCCCCCCATAATTCGAATAAGACCCAAAATGCAAATAAATAATCAATCACGAGATCTACAGAAGTTAAGAGGAATAAATATTGTATTATAACTTTATAAGCAAGGTAGGAGAAGAACATTGAAGAATAAAAGATGGAAAAGTGTTTTAGAGTGAGAAACTGAGAAGGAGAGAGAGGAGAGGAGAGGAGAGGCTAGGCGCCTAGTTGTGTTTTCTTGAAATTAATACCCTAGGTGGCTTTTTTTTAAAAATATTGTTGTTGATACATACGGGTAGTCGGGTACCCGAGTTAACCAAAGTGTGCCCCATGACCCGGCCCGTGACCAGGCTATTTTGTCGGGTCGGATACCTTACCCGAAAAAATGTTAAAATTTGACAAATTACCCATCGGATTTTTCTCGGATCATCGGGTAATCGGGACGGATCAATCGGATCGGGTTTTTTTTAACACCCCTAGACCCCTCTTAACATGAGACCATTGCACTACATGTCTACATCAAAAGAAGTAGTCTCTCATGCAACCTCCACGAGGCCACCATGAAGGTGGCAAGTGGTATATTTCTCATTTTATTTATTTATGTATAGTATTTTGGTCAAACCTTAATTACTTGATAGAAAAGAAAGCATAAACACATGAATTTGTCAACCCATAATGTGACATACATATGCAGATCTTTATCTCCTTAGTTTTATATTACAACTCAAGTACCCTTATACCAAATCATACATTATAATTTAACGACTTAACGTAACTTCCAAGATATTGTCTTAATCTCCTCCTTATATCTCCAAAGTTAACTTAAGAAAAATAAATATAGTAAATTCACATTAATCTAGCTTTAAACATGGAGATTAATACATACTTGTACAGTATACTATTATTAATCATAGCTCTCTACCTATTAAAATACCACTTTCGAAAAAATTTACAAAAAAGCCCTCCGAGCCCCGCCACGTGTCTTCCCATAATTGGTCATTTCCACATTCTCAAGGAGCCATTTCACAAGACCCTAGCCAACCTTGCGGACCAGTACGGTCCAATCCTCTCGCTCCGGTTCGGTTCACGTCCGGTTCTCCTTATCTCATCACCCTCAGCCGCCGAGGAGTGCCTTGCCAAAAACGACGTCGTTTTTTGCAACAGTCCGAGTGTATTCCTCACCGCAAAACACTTAGCCTATGACTATACCAGCCTCATTTGGGCTCCTTGGACCTCACTGGCGAAACCTACGGAGGATCTCCACCATCGAAATCTTCTCGTCTCACCGGCTCAAGCTACTCGCCAGCATACGCTCCGATGAGGTGAGGTTAATGATCCAAAGATTGTTGCAAAGAGTGAAAAGTTTAGGAAAATGTTGGCTAAAATGTTGAGGTTGTTTAATGATGCTTGTATAGGAGATATGGTGCCATGTCTTTGGTGGTTAGACTGGTGGAAAGACAGGGAGCTAAAGAGATTCGAGGCGGAGCGAGGGGTGGTTTTGAGGGAGGTGATGGAGGAACATAGGGAGAAGTTGAAGGTTGAAGGTGGAGATGATGGGAAGTCAATGGTGGTGATGAAGCCCTTGATCCAAGTGTTGCTTAAGCTCCAAGAGTCAGAGCCAGAGTATTACAAGGATGATATCATCTTTGGCATCATTTTGGTATGTGCTTACAATTTATTTATTTATTTACTTCTAACAATTTACCTCGACTACATTAGAAACTTTTACAGTACTTAATGATATACTAACTACAATTTATTAATATGATCAACCACTTTAAATTAGGGCCTATTCATATTTACTGAACTGAGCTGAACTGAACTGAAATGAAATGAATATTATATGAGAGAGGGAAATTAGGAGCTGAACTGAACTGATTGGAGCTGAACTGAGCTAAAGTGAACTGAAATTAAGTAAATGTGAACAGACCCTTAGTTCATATACTTGTACAATTTAAATATATTATATACATAGTGACAAATTTGATAAGATTTATTATTATTATTATTATTAGGAAAATTTGTCTGAAAGGGACTAATATATTCACTATTTTGTGTGGAAGGACTTTTTATGTTGAAAGTTTTCTAAAAGGACCTTATAAGTATGTTTTGTTGTTTATAAGGACCTTGATCGGAATCCGTCGTTTCACATAGATTCTGTGGCGTTGACCCCTCACGTGCATGTAACGTGACATTAAAAAATTACCCTCTCCCTTTTTCCCCCTTTTCCCTCCAACCCTAGCATTCAAAACACTAGCAAAGTCAAACGCCGGATTCCAATGTTAAGGGGAAAATAAGGGAAAGAGTATTTTTTTTTAATGCCATGTGACATGCACGTGGGGGGTCAATGCCGGAGAATCAAAGTCAAATGCCGAATTTCGATGTCAAGGTCCTTCCAAACAACAAAACATACTTATAAGGTCTTTTTAGACAACTTTCAGCATATAAGGTCCTTCCAGACAAAATAGTGAACATATAAATCCCTTCCAGACAAATTTTTTTTATTATTATTATTTAATAGTTGGTTCGTGGAGGCGGATGCACGATCCACATGGTGCATCCGCTCCAAAATACAAAAAGGCGGAATGAACATTCAGATATATACTAATGAACATGGTCATATAAAAGAACATAGTAGTCATTTATAATGTACATGGACATATACATAAAAGAACATAGTGTTCATTTGTAATGTACATCAGTTTTTTATGCAACAATTTTGTACATATATTTTTTTTAAAAGAAATTTTGTATAATAAAATAGATAAATAGTACTATAATTAATTTTTTTTACCATACATTAATTACAAATCATTTCAATTTTTTTTTTACCAAAAGTTCACTTTCTCTCTCCAAACAAAACTTCAAACCCATTTAAATTCCTCAAACCTCAAACAAAATTTCGAATTTCAAAATTTTGAGCCCAAAATTGTTCAAGATGACAAATAAAAACGAAAGGTAAGACCAAACTCGACATTTATACTTGTTTATTTGACATTCATACTTATTTATTTTGAGTTTGAGTGTTTGTTTTTTATAAATTTGATTGAAAATTGTTATATTTGATTTTATTGAAAATTAATTGCGATTTTGATATAATTTTGTTGTTGCAATGAGAAATAAAATGAAATTCTTGTAGAAGATCAACCGATTAATATATTTTCAAAGAAGAAAGCAAGCAAATAGACAAATTTAGAAAAAGTTAGATCCAAATAATACAATGTACATTAAAATACAGTAAAATGTTCTTTTTTCATATACTTATATGATGCAAATAATACAATGTACATAAAACATGTAACCAACAATATAACATATATGTTCATTAGAATATAATACAATGTACATTATAATACAGTAAAATGTACATTTTCATATACATACATGATCATTTATACCAAATGTACATTTACTATATGAATAATGTTCTTTAATATAATCATGTTCTTTACTAATATTACAAATGTTCTTTAGATTTACAAAAAAAACATATAAAACTGGATGTTCTTTATAAAATAGCTATATGTTCTTTACAAAACAACTATATGTTCTTTACTGAATAGCTAAATGTTCATTCCACCTTTTTTTTAAAGAACACTGGATGCACCAAGCATGGTGCATCCGCCTCCACAGAAAAAATTTCAATTATTATTATTATTATTATTATTAGATGTTAATAAAGGTTTTATTTAATTTTTTTTTAGCATATTTTATTGAAAGATGTTAATTTTTTTTTTTTATTGTTCACCTCAAAAATCAAAGTGTTTTGTCTAATAATTGAAGTTAAGGGGATTATAGGACAATCGTTATCTAGATCAAAAGAGAACTAAACTGATGTCTTAGCTTGTTAAAATTTTATAAAAGATGTTCAAGTAACAAGTTGTCTATATAACAGTATATTCAATTCTTCAATATTTGTGTATATTTTCAGGATCTACTAATAGGATCATCAGATACATCAGCTGAGACAATGGAATGGGCATTATCACTCTTACTCAACCATCCTCAAGTTCTTAACAAGGCCAAAGCCGAAATCAACAATCATATAGGCTATGAAAGGTTGCTCGAAGAATCCGATCTTAACCATCTTCCTTATCTACGATGCATTATTAATGAAACACTCCGAATGTACCCCCCTGCCCCTAATCTAGTCCCTCATGAATCATCAGAGGACTGCACCGTCGGAGGCTATCATATTCCTCGAGGTACAATGCTACAGATCAACTTATGGGCTATACAAAATGACCCAAAGATTTGGGATGATCCTACAAGTTTTAGGCCTGAGAGATTTGAAGGAGTGGAAGGTCATAAGATAGGATACAAAATGATGCCTTTTGGGTCTGGTAGAAGGAGTTGTCCTGGAGAAGGTTTGGCTACTCGAATCATTGGACTAACCATTGGCTCGTTAACCCAATGTTTCGAGTTGGAGAAGGTTGATCACAACCTGGTTGATATGACCACAGCGCCTGGGTTTAACTTGCAGAAAGCCAAGCCATTGAAAATCTTGGTTCGCCCATGTTCAGCTATGATGAAGCTAGTTGATCAAATGTGACATTGTCAATTGATCATATGAAAATTACTGCATTATTAGTGTGAACTTGGCTTACTAATAGAGAAATCTTCTTGTACTGATGTAAATATGTAATGATTTTATCATATGCCTTAGTTGATCTGTAATTTATCTTGTCATAAAAGTATAACACGACTAGTTCTTTCCTTTTATTATTATTGGACGGTGCATTTAACAAAGCCAAAAGAATATAATTATTGTACAAGTCATTGAAAGGTAACATTATATCACCTTCTATAGAAATCTTCAATGGGCCACCATATAGAAGCTCGTGTTGAAGGCAAGTTTGATCACATACAAGCCTAAGTCGGTTATAATGCTTTGAGACTAGTGGATTGGAGTAGTAAATCCTATTTTTGGGAATAGTATTAATCGATGCTTTTGTTAGACGGTCTAAGAAATCATCTAATAACATGTTCTGTTTAGTGGTATTGTTTTCCACTCTTTGGTGTCTTATTGCGAATTCTCAAATAACATTATGTTATTAACTTTATATTACAGTTTTATTATGCAAGTTGAGCACAAAATGGTTTGTTATTGTAGAAAGCAGGGTGGATGAATTAAATAGATTATTAATTATGATAGATTTCATCATTTTGACGTCTGAGAAAACAACAGCAAGAACAGTCTTTGAAGAAAAAGCTTTATTGCAAGCAGAAAATTTCATACATAAAACCCGGTTTCGAGTGCTAATTAACTTTCAAAATGGAAAAGGTCAGCATAACTAGTGTTATGCCTATAAATAAAATGCAAATGGTCCTATATTGGAGTGGATTGGGGATGGCCTGGTCTGAAATTTGTGGCGATTGTCTAGGAAACATAGCAGATAAACTCACAACAATCTCTGATTATCGGTCTCTCCGATTGGTTTGTCAAGATTGGGCATCGACTTTGCCCAAGCTTCCAACCCACCGTGTAGCTATCCCTCCTCTGCTCATGCTGCTTGAACAACAACTGCAGGAGCCTGCAGGTTCACAAGATAAAAGATGCTGTCATTTTATTAGCATTATTTCTGATGACAGCAAATACTATCTGAACCTTCCTGAAGTTTTTCCTCCTCACCGAATTGTTGGCTCATCTCATGGCTGCCTTATCATAGTTGGGTTAACCGGTGAAATCTTTTGCCTAAACCCAATTTCCAAGGACAGGATTAATTTGCCTCGGCTCTCTGATTTCCCTGATGTTGAATTGTTCGATAATCCTGAGGCCTATTACAGGATAAGCAACCAATACGGATACCCACAAAACTTGAGTCTAACTCAGATGAGAGACTGGTATGTTAAGAAGATAATATTGTCCTGTTATCCTGCAGATGGAGCTGATTACATCGCCCTTGCAATCATTCAATCTGGCAGTCAATTAGCTTATTGCAAAAGGGGCGATACACGTTGGAATTTTGTTCCTTTGAATTTTATCCCTGATGCACACAGATCCACTGAGGATGCTGTATATTACAATGGTATACTTTCAGCGTTATCTTATGGACTTTATGGAGATGAACTCACAATTTGTGACCTTCGTAGTTCTGAGCCAACAACTAAGGTGATCGATGCTCAAATTCCTCGTGCAAAGCCTGATAATAGGCTGCGCGATTATCTTGTCAGCTCTGAGGATGACGATGGGCTTTTACTTGTATCGCGGTATATCAACAAAGACGTTGAAAATATTGTTGTTTATAAGTTTGATACAATCAGTAGTTCATGGGTGTCACAAGAAACATTACATGGTAAGCTGCTGTTTCTGGGGTTGAATTCATCCTTGTCATTTCAGGCTTCTGATTTTCGCAGCAGCAAAGAGAGTATATACTTTTCAGATTATGTTGCAAAGGAAACTGAGTACATTGATCCTACTCCTATATGGTTTACACCCAATCCATGGTGGAAACTAAACATGGGCAACGGGCCGTGCCGTGCCGCCGCGGGCCGTGCCTGGCCGTACAGCGGTGGGGGCCGTGTCGTGCCGGCTCCGCGACGGGGCCGTGCTGTGCCGTGCCTGAAATTGGCACACCCCAGCCCACGGCACGGCACGGCCCACGTGCCTTGAGGGCCGTGCCGTGCCGGGCCGCGGGCCAAATCGTGCCACCCTTTTTAATTTTTTTTTATTTATTTTTAATAAATGAAAAAAAAACGAATTAAACGATATATATATATTTTTTTAGTACAACTTAATATATGTGATTAATTTATGTTTATGTTAATGTTAATATAATTTGTTTACATTTTTTGAACAACTTTATTTTAATTTAGGTTATATAAATTATTTATCTAATTAATAATTATGTTTAAGTTTATATAAACAAATAAAAACAATTTTATTAATTTAGCAAAAAACAACAATGCATATTGTTAGATTTCGGGAAAACTCCTCAATCTGGAGTGTGTACCATTGATCAAATAAATAGAGTTTACAACGCAGTCGATGTGAAACAGTAGGATATAAATGTATATCGTGATCAATGGTACCCTAAACATAACGCAGAATGCGTTTTAATGCCTCATAATGAGGTTCCCGAGGATCATGCATAAATAGACACACCTGTTGTACCGCATATGAAATATCTGGCCTGGTGAAAGTGAGGTACTGAAGAGCACCTGCTAAACTGCGATACAAAGTAGGATCCTGAAAAGGTGGCCCTGCATCTGCACTAAGTTTTGACTTAGTGTCAACTGGAGTAGTGGCAGGTTTACAGGAGGCCATTCCTGCACGCTCTAAAATTTCCTGTGCATACTTCTCCTGCGAAAGAAGCATATAAGAGGGTTTTCGGGTTACTGCAATACCCAAAAAATAGCTAAGAGACCCCAAGTCAGACATAGGAAACTCAGTTTGCAACTGAGAGATGATTCCTGTGCGCAACCTGTCAGATGAGGTAGCTAATATAATATCATCAACATATAATAGCAAATATGCCATATCATCTCCCTGCCGGGAAGTAAAGAGAGAGTTGTCACTTTTAGCAATGACAAAACCCAATTTAATAAGAAAGGTTGCAAAGCGTTGGTACCAAGCTCTAGGAGCTTGTTTCAAACCATAGAGAGCCTTGCGTAGCCGACAAACATGAGTGGGAGCCCTCCGATCAACAAAACCCGGAGGTTGATGCATGTAAACCGTTTCCTGCAAGTCACCATGTAAAAATGCATTTTTGACATCTAGTTGATGTATCGACCATTTCTTAGCCATAGCTAAGCTCAGCACAGTTCTAATAGTGGTCGGTTTAACAACCGGACTGAAAGTTTCATCACAATCTATACCAACTTCCTGCGACCTGCCATCACAAACAAGACGAGCTTTGTGCCTTTCAAGGTCACCATTAGACTTGAATTTATGTTTGAACAACCATATACAATTAACAACATTCACCCCCGTTGGCCTAGGCACCAACTCCCATGTCCCCGTTTTAAATTAAAGCACTATACTCATCAAACATCGCCGCATTCCAATTAGGGTCATGTAAGGCCTTTTTATAGCTTTTTGGAATTGGTGATTTGTGAATAGAAGAACCCGAAGTGATCAAAGAGGTTTGACTGTACTTTGGGTTAGGCTTAAATATGCCCCGTTGACTACGGGTGACTCGAGGGGAGGGAGGTGGAGGTCGTGTGGGCTGTAGAGGGGGGGGGGGGGCGCCACGCAAAGGAGGTTGTGTATAAGGCTGTGCCGGCAAAACCGGGCTGCTGGCAGGTGTAGGGTGCTGGGTCGGGTTGGCGGGGTTGCTGGCAGGAGTGTGTACCTGGGCTGGTGAGGGGGTAGGTGGGCCGCAAGGCAGCTGGGGTGCGGGTTGGGGCCTAGGTGGGGTGCGGGTAGGGGAGTTTTGTGGGTCGAGTACTCGAACTGGGCTACCTGCATTTGGGCTACCTGCATTTGGGCCAGCTTGGTGTCGAAATTGGGTAGAAAAGTGTTGCAGGTAGTGGTGTGTGAGTAATGGAGATGTGTCATCAAAACCCAAAAACTCATAATCTTTAAGTGTGAAATACTCCAAGTTTTTGAAGGGGAAAGTGGACTCATCAAAGGTAACATGGCGAGAAATGATTACTTTGCGAGTTGCAATGTCAAGGCATTTATAACCACGATGATTAGAGGGATATCTCAAAAATACACAAGGAGTAGATCTAGGAGCAAGTTTGTGAGGAGTCGTTGCAGAAAGATTAGGGAAACATAGGCAACCAAAAACCCGTAAATGATCATAGGATGGGTTTTTATGAAACAAAGCCTGAGCCGGAGTCATGTGCTTAAGAGATTTAGTGGGAAAAATATTTAAAAGATAAGTGGTCGTCTCTAGAGCATGTGACCAGTAGGAAGGAGGCAAAGAGGCATGAAATAAAAGGGTGCGGTTGACATTATTTATGGTCCGAATCATACGTTCGGCCTTTCCATTTTGAGAAGATGTGTGTGGGCAAGAGAATCTAAAGACCATACCATTATCAAGGCAAAATTTTTTGAATGGGTCATTGTCAAATTCGCGACCGTGATCGCTTTGGAACGATTTAATAGGACGTTCAAATTGAGTTTGCACATATTGTCTAAAGTAAAGGAAGGATTGGTAGGCTTGAGATTTCTGAGCTAAAGGAATGGCCAACACATAATGAGTGAAATCATCAAGAACAACTAAATAATATTTATGGCCATTGATGCCCCGAATGGGAGATGTCCATAAATCAGCATGAATAATGTCAAAAGCAGAAAAAGTATTATTATTTGAATCATAAAAAGGTTGTCTAACATGTTTCCCTAATTGATATGAATTGCAAAACGTGGAGTCATGCTCCTTATTACAAGAAATAAAATTGTTGCTCCTAAGAAAACTTAAAGAAGAAGCCCCGGGATGTCCTAAACGATCATGCCACGGGGTGACTGCAGAGAGAGTAGTGGCTAGACATGTGCTTGGTGGGCTTGAGGTGAGTGGATAAAGCTCCCCGGTGCTATTGCATCTCGTTATTACCCTCCCCGTTCGAAGATCCTTCACAGTAAAACCATTAGGGTCAAATTCTATAGACACCGAATTATCAGAAGTAAATTTTCGCATAGAAATAAGATTCTTAATAATTTGGGGTGCAAGAAGAACATTTTTTAAGGTTAGGGAATTATTAGGGAGGGTTGTATGACCATAACCAGTGATTGGAATGCGATGACCATTACCTACTAAAATATGATTATTAGTGCTTAAATTAAAGAGGGGAAGAAGCGTACCGGTATTATTGGTCATGTGAGACGTAGCACCGGAGTCCATATACCAACCGTTGTCCGGTGGTGTGAGGTTCATCTAGGAGTAAGCACTGCCAAACTCCGTTGGAGTCAAAGGAGGCCCGTAAGAGGGAGGCCCTGCTGTATAAGCTTGCTGAGGTGGTCCGCGACCATAATTGGGCCTTGGTTGGTACTGCCCATTAGTTGGAAATGGAGCTGGTGGAATAGCCCACCCTTGTGGCCAATATGGAGGACTGGGCCAAGGAGGTTGAGAGGCCCATTGTTGCCCATGTGAATTGGGCTGCTGTTGGGGCTGCCAATTTTGTTGAGGGGTGCTAGAAGTCGACCCCTGCTGCTGCTGGCCAGGGGAGTTGCTACGACCCTGTCCACCGCGGCCTCGGCCTTTGCCACGGCCCCTTCCCCCGTTGCTGCGCTCGCGTCCAGCGCCGCCACCACCCCTGCCGGCGGTGGACGGCTGTTGTTGTTGTTAACAGTGAGGGCAGGGTGAAATTCATTGGCCGGAGGGGGAGGAGGTGGCGGTGAATCCGAGTCTTTGGCCATGGAAGAGAAAGGGTATTGCTGCTAAAGAAAGGGGAAAATACGGAAGCGTTGAAAAAATTATTCCTAGGATCAAAACCTAAGCTCTGATACCATGTTAGATTTCGGGAAAACTCCTCAATCTGGAGTGTGTACCATTGATCAAATAAATAGAGTTTACAACGCTAGGATAAGGACTCCTAGATACGATCAACATACAAAATATACATTAAATATATCCTAAACTTGTGACAAATATTATCCTAAATATAATATCTATCACATATCATAAAAAAAAAAAATACGAGTGCGATAATCCGAAAACACAAAAAATTGAAGAATAACTTATTTTATTATATGACGGTAGCCGATACGATAATTTAATAATACAAAATAATTAAATTATTTTATTATATGGTGGGCTCGTGCCGTGCCGTGCCCGGCCGTGCCGCCCGCCGTGTTACGTGCCGTGCCCGTGCCGATTTCCAAAAAAGTGTTCACGGCACGGCCCACAGGCCAGAGTCGTGCCGCCGTGCCGGTCCGGGCCGGAGTCGTTCCGAGCCCGTGCCGCCCGCGTGCCGGCACGGCCCATGCCCATGTTTAGTGGAAACACCCTTGGTCACGTGGGTCCCGTGACCTAGCTAAAAAAAAAAATAAAAAAAATTGAAAAAACAAAAAAGCTGAACGAAGGAATTGAAAGGGGAAAAATCAAAACATTGACATAATACTCCGTAACATACTCTTCTCGCTACACTGACACCACTGATTCGCTGTCTCCTACCACCGCACCGCCCCGCCGGCCGCCGCAACTTCCACCCATCTCCGTCCGCATAGCTTCACTCCACTCCTACAACCTTCTTGTGTGCCCTTAGACTCTTCTATGTAACTTAATTGATTTTTAAGTTTTTAATTTCGTATTATACACGTTGATTTTGTGCTTAATTGAATTGTTTATATTATTTAATCTAGTCAATTAGTGTGTATGTTTTTTGAAATTGTTAATTTGTTATTAAATTTATCACATTAGGGAGTTAGGGTTTCTGATTTTTTTAGGAATTGATAATATTGAATTGTTAATTTTTTTATTCTTTGACATTGATATTATGAATTGACAATGGACTAGTAAAATTGATGATTTCATATTTAATCTATGAAATTAGGGGGTAAGAATGTAAGATTTAAGAACCTTGGGTTTCTGATTTTTGTTTTGGAATTGATTAGTTTGGATAATTGCTTTTCTGATTTTTTGAATTTGATATTAGTAGTGGCCAATTGGATATAGTGATTAGTGATTTTGAATAATTGCCTTGAATTTGTATATGTTCAATGCTAAGCTTACTATTAGTGTTTTAGCTTTACTTTATTATCAAGTTAGTGTGTATAATTAACTTGGATTTTTGAAGCAATAGTGGTTTGCTTAATCTAATTGATAATGTAACTTAATTTTCATAATGAAAAGGAAAAAAAATGTGTGATATCACAAGTTTCTTTGGTCCGAAAAATCCCCCTCCTCCACAAAATCCTCCTCCTCCAAATGTTGAACGTTGAATGATTGCTTGATTACTTATATAGAGAGATATGTTAATGTTGACATTAATGATATTCTAGATCAATATTAAAACATGAAAACTCGTAGAGAGCAATTGTAATTTTTTTTTTGGTGTAATATGGATATTAATATCTTTTGGAATGTAACTTTTTTTTAAAAATAAAATAATTATTAGCTTTTATAATATTCTTGCATTAATTATTGATTAGTAGTCGGTGGTGACCCAGACCAGCATCCAAAAAAACTTGGATCCACCAATGATGGTGGTTTGTGTGGTTGTTGATGATTAAGGTGGTGGTGTTGAATTGTTGATTATGATGGTTCATAATCAGCTTAACCCATTCTCCTAATTTCCCCCCAAAACACCCTTAACTCACAATTAGCAATTTGTCTTTAGGAGTCCGTGCCAAGCAAGTTGGTTGCATTTTTTCTGATACGGAGGGAGTAATAGCTTGCAAATGTGATCCATTTGTTCTCTACTTGTGATTTTTACTTGTTTACTCCGATGCTAAATGTGATTTTTAATTCCTTGTAGCTTTTAACTACTGCATTGATGCTGATCTACTCAAACCCAAAGAAAAGGCCAAGACCTGATTGGCAAAAGGCCATTGCCATTGAGGAAGCATGTAAGAAGAAATGTAGTTGTTGAGGTTGATGGGGAGAGTCCGAGTGACAATCATCTCATTAGAAGAAGTTGGGATGACATGGACCATGAAATATTGGTTAGCATTATGAAGCGATTGGGTCTGAATATGCTTCTCCTGTCAACTTGCTTAGTGTCCAAGTCCTGGCTCAATGCCACCCTCGATGCACTCTTCCCACCATGCCATGCCTTCGATTTGCGCGATTGCTCTGTGTTCAGCACTACATCTCATTGCCAATATCGGAAGCGCAACAGGTTGTGGAAGATGATTGAGCTTCATCTCAATCGCAACCTACCCACACAACATTATTATACAAGTCTTGTACTCCGCCACAGGAACTTAACTATATATGCCTATCGTTTCATTGCTCAAAGGTAAGCTTGCTTGTCAAATTCCTTCCTGCATTTCCCCATTACTTACTGCAGGTTTGAGTTTTTGGATATAACTAGTTTTTGCCCCGAGCAATGTCCTGATTAATTTGGTTTCCATTTAATTTTATAGATTAATCTATTTTAATAGATTTGATATAACACCTTCTATGATGATGACTGCAATGACATCAAGCTTTGGCCTTGTAGGTTGCCTTCAATTACGAGCCTGACTATCTGCAACATTGGTTTGCCTAAGCTACTTAAATTTCGGGATTTTGCATCATGTTGGAAAGGTTTGGTAGAAGTGGATTGTGATGCATCATGCGTTCGAGGCATCGGTTTGCTCTGGAATCAAATTCATAAATTAAAGTTGTATGGTGATATAAAGGTGCATGAAGCAATTTCTATTGCAAATGATTTTCCTTGTCTCACACATTTGTCACTCAAGTATTGTAAATTAAGTGACGATGGTCTATCACTAATATTGGAAGGCCAAAAGAATCTCACTTACCTTAATATGACTCATGCACGTGTTGGTGGCAAGAGGAATGCCAAGGATTGGGATAAAGACCTTCTATTGTTGGCAAGCAAGATCCCACAATTCTTGAGATGTGAAATGGGAAATTGTTGCTCTTGTTTTCCCTGTTATCGTCCTTCTTGAAGCGTGATGCAGTTGATATTGCTTGGAAATTTTAGCAAACTCAGGATTGAATTAGGTTTCTTCCATTGTGATTATGTCATCAGTTTGCTGTTTACTACTATGAATTTAATCTTAATTGGATGTCGTTTGAAATAAAACTAGATTAATGCCCAAGCGTGTTTTGCTATTTACTAATATGTTCAAGCTAAATTGTTGATGCACCCAAAGATCTTCAGGGGGTTCCAAATTGTTGATGAAAATTGATCTAATGCAGGCACCATAATTGTTTAACTAACTTCGAAAAAGTCAAAAATATGTGTATATAGAATGCGATGAAAGTATAAACACATATTTTAAGTCTGCAAAATAACAGAGTCAATAATTGATACAAATGTAAATATTTGATTCATCATATTCTATAATTGATACTTATGCAATATAACAGTCAATAATCATAAACACATATCTAATACTTTCACTGATTCAACCTCCACAGATACCAACGGGTTCGAATTTCTCAACTGAGGGCCGAACGGGGTTTGATCTTGATCAAGATTTATCATTTAAAATGGCACGGCACACGGATGTTATCCTTCATTCCAGGTTTTGAATAGTAATCAAAGATTTTCTGTGCAACTTGCCTACATCTCTTTTTAGGAAGATCACCCATTACAGAAATAGCTGCAATTCCCATAACATCTCCTGAACTAACACTCCCACATAATTTGTCTATATTAGCAAGAACACATACCGTTTCAGCACAATTCTTTGTTTGAAATCATTGGATCATAGAGACGAGCAAACTTATATGTTTCTCTTTTCTTCGCCTCATCCTCTGATCCCATATACTCCTTAAGGATTTTTTCTAACTGCTCAAGTGTTGTTTGATTACCGCGATGATACAGTACATTCAGAAGATCTGGTCGAGCTGCATTGAGTCCTGTACATCCTCTGCAGAATAGCTCAACAATATGCATTCCTGTAAAAGAGAGATGTTGTTCAAAAAGCAATCGAGTCATCTGTTTTCCTTCCTCAATGCCATTTACAAAGTAGAGTATTTGTCCTAGAGTCTTACGATATATCAAGTTTGTTTGATACAGTCCCCTGAGGGCATCTACACTTGGACCCCAGACGTCAAACTCCCCTAAATCAAACCTTTGACCGGTAAATCTCTTGTAATTTTCCTTTATATGCTCTTGTGCTTTTACCCAAGAGGAAGCATCTTTGGTAAACAACCTTAGCATAGAGGCAGCATAGTAACAACCAGCACGGTTAAATTCGAGTGAATTTCTCACAACCCCTACTGGATCAACAATTTGGGATCCAATACCAGCTGAAGCAGACTCGAGGTCTGAAAGTGTTAAAGGGTTTCCAGTGACAGGTCTAGCAGAACTGGCAGGAAAGACTCTTGTACTAGGATCTGATTCGGATTTTAAGTTCCATGCCAGCAGCAACACATCATAAGCAACTTTTTTTGTCATTGCTACAGAAATCCCTCTGATCACTCGTTTGATCGCTTGAGTTGTTTCTTCTTTAGAGAGAACTGTGAGAGGGAGTGCATCTTCAAATAATACCATATCATCCGTCCAATCGTCCTTCGAAAAATCCTGCATAGCAAAGTCATTGAGATCTTCGTATCTCTCTAGACATTTGAGTACTGGCATCCTGGGTGTTGCCATGTTTGCCACAGAACTAATATTTCATGAAGAACAATTATTAGGCAGCAAATTAAAACGATAGCTAAAGAATTATTAAAGCAGCAAACGAGAGGGGGGGAGGGGTAAGGGAATCCCCCTACCTCTCAAGCATTTTGTATTTAGTGGGGCTCGAAGTTGTGACTTCAAAGTCACAAGGTGAGTTTCCTACCAACTAAAAGATTTTGAAATTGTGTGATTGTTAAATGGAAAAATATGTTAAATGGGTATTTGATTGTACACTACTACTGTTCCTACTGGATTCTGTTTCCGTTAATGTCTGAGGGCTGGTAATGGTTTACCGTCCAATTGCTCACCTACACAGCCAATACAAATTAGCTAGCCCGGGGGTTATCCGGGAATAACCACTCCGATGCTAAAGTCAGTACCTTTGTGAGAAGAAAGTGAAGAAAGTGAAAGAAGAGAGAGAAAGTGTTTTAGAGAGAGAGAGATTCTACCTTTGAAATGAGGATTTGCTTGGGTATTTATAGGAACACAACTAAGCAGGTGCCACCTATACAAATAGGTGGCACACCGACCTTGTAAGTAGCAGGTGCCTACGCGGCACCAAGCAACTCTCCACGTGTCAGAGGGACATGCCACGTTCCGAGAAGCAGCTCTCCACGTGGTAGAGACTAATGCCGGTAAGGACATGAATTATTCAATGATTAACGAGGGCTTTAAACTGCACGACACTCTTTTACCGGCATATTATGATTCTACCGGTATATCCCGTACAACTAGCCCCCCAAGTGAGGGCGTTAGTAAAACTGACATGCTCACTTGCGATGGAACACGGTGGTGGTATGTACAATATGTCATACAAGAATGTTTAAAAAACGAAAAGAAAATCTACGATTTGCCCCCCAAGTGAGCAAATTGACGATAGTAATTTACTCAATAAAAACATGAAAAAATCTACGATTTGCCCCCCAAGTGAGCAAATTGACGATAGTACTTTGCTCAATAAGACATGAAAAAATCTACGATTTGCCCCTCAAGTGAGCAAATTGACGATAGTACTTTGCTTAATAATACATGAAAAAATCTACGATTTGCCCCTCAAGTGAGCAAATTGACGATAGTAATTTACTCAATAAAAACATGAAAAAATCTACGATTTGCCCCCCAAGTTAGCAAATTGACGATAGTACTTTGCTCAATAAGACAAGAAAAAATCTACGATTTGCCCCTCAAGTGAGCAAATTGACGATAGTACTTTGCTCAATAATACATGAAAAAATCTACGATTTGCCCCTCAAGTGAGCAAATTGACGATAGTAGTTTACTCAATTACCGAGCAAAATGCCGACATGGTTTGGCTCAATAAAATACTAAAACCAAAAATAGGAGTTAAAACGATTTCACACATTTAAAAATTTATCCCCCTGGATTTGGCGGGAAAATGTAGTAAAATAATGGGGCACGTGTCAGTCATCGAAGTAGGTTATTTTTGAAAAGGCGTTTTATTACAGCCGTTGGATTGCATGCAGTAAATGTCACATCAACCGCTTCATTTGGACAGTATAAATAGCAAATTTCGTACTTTTGACCCTTCATGTCTTTTGCGAAAAAATTTCGAAAAATTTCTACTTCACTTCGCTCGTAGCGCGCTTATATTTCTGCGATTCAAGGCTCAATTTGTCAAGGGTTTGTTCAGTTGTGTTGTGACCGGTGTTTGTAAACGGAGGAGACTTAATTCTCGAGTTACGCTTTCAAGAGTTGAGTTCAAAAAGAGGTAAAAAACCCTAACTTTCTTTTCGATTTCTCACTGGTTTGTGGTTAAGTAGATTTTGCGTTTATTTCATTATTTGTGAATGTCTGGTTCTGGAATGCATGCAAACATGGGTAAAGCCAATGAGGCTGAACTCTGTACACCCTTAACTTCTGTAGAAGAAAGAGAAGCTTATTACCGTCATAAGTTTCTGGCTGACGCTGAGAAGGCTTTGCGTCCTACCAACCCTGATATTCCAGAGGACATAGAGATTGCCGATGTTGAGCCTATTAGCGTTCAATATCATTTGAGGTCAAATTTGGATTTATTTAATCAATACGACACTAATATTGACAGGATGCCGAGAACGAAACATATCAGTTACCAACGTGAGGTTGGTGAAAGCAGTAGACCTTCTGTTGATGAAGAAATGGTTGACCCTGGGCTTGAAGCTTCGGATATCCGAGAAGAAGATATCCGGTCAGTCGAAGATAGCCTAGATTGGCAAGAAAGTGGGGGTGAAAGCATCGGTAACGAAGACGATGCAGATGGGTCAGAAGAGGTTGGGGAGGGAGAAGATGATGAGGAAGAAAACAGCGAGACCGACGAGGAAATTGCTACAGATTTCAACCTTGCTGCTCAGATTGCAGAAGAGGAACGTCTCGACGAGGAATACGACTCAGATCAAGATGATCCAAAGTATCTAGAACCTCAAGAAATTCCCAGCAGCTATGAAATATCTAAGTCAGTTGTGGATCCGGTGTGGTTGCAGACAGCCGCCGAAAAAGATTATTGCCAACATGGCAAACGCTTCTACCGTCTCCCTGACGTTTACGAACTGAGACTACCAAGTAATGGTCAGACGGCTTTGGACTGTCCTGCCGGCCACATTGTTGTGTATGCAAAACATTTAGAGTTTGGTTTACGATTTCCACTCCATCATTACATCGAAAAAATATTCAGGGCTTGGAATGTTTCAATTGCACAGTTAACGCCTCCGACTATCCGAAATATTGTGTCTCTTGTCTGGGTTATGATATTTATGGACTTTCCCCTTACCCTGAACTTATTTCGGAGATTACATTGGATAAAAAGAGATAGTCAGTCACCCGGATGGTGGTCCCTTTTTACCGCTCCCGGTAAATGCACAATGTGGCCAAAATTGACCAGTTGCAAGAACTGGAAGAATGAATTTTATTTTATGAGTATGCCTGACGATTTTACCGTCCGTAGGACATTTCATCATCCACACAGCATGTTCGAGACCATACGGTCGAGAGCGTTAGGACCGATGGAGAAAAAAGCTTTTAAATGGTTTAATTGTACATATGTTAGCGCTGGTAAGAAGAATAAAGCCGTTACGGGGGTGTGGTTGCCCCATTGTAATTATATACTAGGCAACGCCCCTCTTTCTCATGTCGGTCTCTGCCATACCGATGCTTTTGGTATGGATGCATTTATAAATTATATACATTTGCTTATATTTACCTTCACTGTACTCGTGATTTGGAATTAATTTATAAGTGTTTTTCCTGCTTATTCTCGTACTTGCCTGTGTGTATTTACTTACACTTGTTTTTACGCCCAAGCTTACCTTTACCATATCGGTTTATTGACGTTTATTATCGGTTTGTCTTCCGCCAGGTATCGACAAGCTTGACTTTAGCCGACTAGGGTTGCCCTCTGACGGGAGAGTGAAGCAACATTGCCTGGATCGGCCAAAGAAGTCATACGACACCCTGCCCTCTTTTGCTACCAGAGCG